CTGCAAAACCTGTGGGTCCAGAGATGGGGTAGACAGGGTTTGGGCCAGTCTTCTAGGGGAGGGGCCCTGCATGACTGGGAAGGGAAGATCTGCAGAACTGAGGGGTTGGGGGCTTGGTGCAGACAAGTTATGTAGTATATGCATAGCACTGTTCCCCACCGATGGCCGTTGTTTATGCTGGGGGCATGGGAGGGAAATGGCACCTGCCTGCTCCTTTGTTCTTGGAGGGGTCTTTCCATGATCCTTGTCTCTCTGGGCCACACTCTGATATGAGCAAATCACTCTTCCTCCTGTCTGCACCCTACGTTTTTCAAACTGCTGGTTCTATGCTGTATCTGCATGGGCTGTTTATTGTGTTGTCTCTCCCTGAGCCCAAGCCAGGAGCCTGCTGATTTTTAAAATTCCAGGTTTTAAGACCCTCCTGGTTGTAAGAACTCATGAAATTCGGCCCCTCTCTCTTTCAAAGGCAATGTTATGGGGATTTGTCCTCCTCGTCGGTTGGCTCCCCAGTGTGAGAGTCTGTTTTACACCCTTCTCTGCACCACCAGCTTCCTCTCCACCAAGGATGGCTTTGGTCTGTTTTGCTCCTAGACCATGTCTTCACTCTTCCAACCTTCTTCAGTGTGGCCTCTTCTCTACCTGTAGTTGTGGAGTTTTTCTGCCAGTCTTCAGGTCATTATCTGGGTTAGTTGCACTGCTGTAGTATTGTCTAATTGTATCAATGGGGGGAGGCAAGCTTAGGGTCCTCCTGCTCCCTCTTCACAACCAACCAGAAATAACCTGTTTCATGAAAGATTGCTGAATCTCTCCTCTGACTTATCTGGGTCCTAGTGCCTTTAAGAGATTGACATGTTTAACAACCAGTTCAATTTTATTGATACTATCAGGTGAATCAGGTTTTAAATTTCTTCTTCAGCCAACTTGAAAATTTTTCTAAAAATATGTTTATATTATTAATTTTTAAAATGTCATAACATTTTCATGTGTTTTTTTAAAATTAAAAAAATCTGTTCTTTGTCTGTACTTATGGCCCTTTTCCATTCCTAATATTAATTTGTGCCTACTCTCTTTTTTCCTTAGGAAGGCTTTTGAAGCTTTTTTCTATTTGCCACTCTTTTAAGAGAAGCAGGTTTTGATTTTTCAGTTTAACTCTATTTTAAAATTCTTTGATCATTGTTTATTTAATTCCTTCATTGCCTTTATTTCCTTCTTCCAACTTTTTAAATTCTTTTTCTGACTTCTTAAGTTGACTGCTTTTTGTTTTATAATAAATGCATTTGAAACTATGAGTTTTCACTTAAGTACTTGATTAATGACTCTATAGGTTTTGATAGATAGTGTTCTAAAGATAAATTTTCAAAAGTTTATTAATTTCCTTAGAACTTATCCTATTTTATGTCATCTGTTTTTTAAAAAAAATTTTATATACATTTATTTTTGATAGAGACAGAGCACAAGTGGAGGAGGGGCAGAGAGAGAAGGAGACACAGAATCCGAAACAGGCTCCAGGCTCTGCGCTGTCAGCTCAGAGCCCGATGCAGGGCTCCAACCCACAAACCGCGAGATCATGACCTGAATCGAAGTCGGAGGCTTAACTGACTGAGCCACCCAGGTGCCCCTTACGTTATCTGTTTACCAGGCTTTTATCCCCACTTGCTTTTTCTACTTTTATTCTTTGCTCCTTTTGTTTTTCTTAATTCTCATGGTTTCCTTTAAAAGATGCTCTTCAATTTTTAACATGTAACTTAGTTTTACATTTCTCCATCGAGTTCTAGGGTTATTAATTCTGTTCTCTTCCAAAAGCAACAAAAATATTTATAATTTTTAAAGTGTATTTACTTTGAGAGAGAGAGAGAGAGAGAGAAAGAGAAGGAGAGAGAGAGAGAGAACACGAGTGAGCATGAGTTAGGGAGGGGCAGACAGGGAGGGAGAGAGAGAATCCCAAGCAGGCTCCTCTCTGTCAACACAGAGCCCAACGTGGGTTGATCTCACAAATTGCAAGATCATGACCTGAGCCAAAACCCAGAGTCGGATGCTTAACAGACTGAGTCAACCAGTTGCCCCAAATAATTTTTTATTTCAAGTTGAAACACCTTGCCATCAGCTTTCCTCGTATTATTATCTAGAATTTTAATTCTGATTTTTCTAAATACATCCATGGAAATTATTGTGGTTATTTTTTTCACACTCAGTACTTCATTTAGTTTAACTGTGTTTTTCAAATGTGAATTTCCTTCCTTCCTTCTTTGAATCAGTTTTATGGCTGATGTATATTCTTCAGTAGTGACATTTATTCACAAATGTCAGTGAGGAGTAAACTCTTACTTTTTCATAATTGAATACATGTTGAATTTTCTTTCTTCTTGAATGATACTTTATTATGTATAGAATTCTAGGTTATGAGTTCTTTAGGTACATAAGAGATATTTTCCCACTACCTTTTGGCATTTATTTTTGCTGATGAGATCTCTGCTACTAAGCTGATTGCTGGTTGTTTTTTTTGTTTTTTGTTTTTTTGTTTTTTTGTTTTTTGTAGGTAATCTGCCATTAAAAAAAAAAAAAGTAGAGGGGCATCTGGCTGGCTCAGTCGGTGGAACATGTGACTCTTGATCTCAGGGCTGTAAGTTTGAGCCCAATGTGGGTATAGAGATTGCTTAAAAATAAAATCTTAAAAAGAAAGAATAGAATTTATTTTTAGAGTAATTTTGGGTCCACAGAAAAATTAAACAGAATGTATAGCAATTTCTCATATGCCTCCTGCCCCTATACACATGTGTCTCCCTCATTATCAATACCCTCCCCACTAGAACTATAAAGAGTAAAAAGTGAATCTCCTCTTTTCCCTACACCATTCCCCTTTTCAACTTGCCAGTTTTCACTCTGTTTTATTGTTATCAGTTTGGTGTGCATCCTTCCTGAACTCTCTATCTACACACACACACACACACACACACACACACACACACACAGTGTAACAGTGCATCTATATAATAATACAAATGTAAATACACATTCATATATATGTGATTGTGATAGTCAGTTCTATGTATTAATTTGGCTAGGCTATATAGTTCCAAGTTATTCCATCAACACTTACCTAGGTGTTGCTTTGAGGGTGTTTTGTAGATGTGATTAAAGTCCATAACCAGTTGATTTTAAGGAAGGAAGATTATCCTAGATAATCTGGGTGGACTTGATTCAGTTATTTGAAAGGTCTTGAGAACAGAAGACCTGCATCTTCCCTGAAGAAGAAATTCTGTCTAGAGGAAGCAGTTTCAGTTTGTGCCTGACAGTTGCAGACAGTTCCCTTCCTGATGGCCTGCCCTATGATTTTCTGGCTTGCCTAGCCAGCCCTGATAATTGCATAAGCCAAGTCCTTGCAATAAATCTCTTATTATATATTTCTTACTGATTCTGTTTCTCCAGTTGAGCCATGATTGACATATATATTTCTGTAACTTGCTTTTTCACTAATAAAATGTCTTAGAGATGGCATTATATTTAACTGCTGAATAATAGCATGTAATATGACTATAATGTGTCTCATCTGATCATCCTGTTGTTGGTGGGTATTTTAGTTGTTTAGATTCAAATTTAAATCAGATTCAAAATTATTTTCATTTGCTACTTTGGAAATTTGCTTTATTGACTTCTTGTATCCAGTATAGCTATAATAAAATCTAATACAAATCAGGTTCTGCTCCTTTGCTGATAATTATTTTTCTCCTTGGAAGGCCTTTAAGATATTATTCTTTTCCTGTAATATTTCATAAGAACATATTATTGGGGAGGAAAAAAATTTCCTTCTTCCCTTCAACATTACTTGGCTGGTCTAATAATTAAATTACCATATGACAGATCAGCAGGAAAAAACAAATTTAATTACATATGTATGAGGAGCACCATGAAAATATGATACTCGGGGGCAAGCTGAGGAGTTGCTGCCTATAGACCATCCTGAGCTAAGGAATGGGATAGGAGCCTGGGGTTTCAGAGGGGAGGAGGTGATTCGCAGCACAATAAGGAGAGCAGATGTTTGGTAATTAGGTGTTTGCCCTACCATACAGATATAGCATTCAGATAAAAAAAAATATCTCTGATAACAGCTGTTTTTCTGGGCCAGATTCCCATCTAAATTCTTTTAGGTAGTTAAGGGAGCACTAAAAGCTTTTCCTGAGTTTTCTGGGTCTTGGTTGTTTTCAGCTTAAAATTGTCCATGTGACAAAGTGACATACTTTGGGGAGACTTGTTTTGAACCCTTTTAATATCTATGGTCATTTTTCATCTTGCTTCATTTTTAATAGTTCCTTTAAATCTGGAGACTGACTTCTTTTGATGGTCTCCTGTCATTACTTTTATTATTTGTGTGCAGCCCTCTTTCTCCATCTTCTCTCCTTGGAACTCCAATTCGATGGATGCAAGACTTTCTGGGACGTTCTTCCAAGCCTTAACTTTTATTTCATATTTTCTACCCATTCATTCTGTTGGACTGCATTTAGGGCCAGGTAATCAGTTTGATCTTCCTGCTCACTAACAGGTTCTTTAGTTGTGGTCCATTCTATCATTCAGCTGACATACTTTTTATTTTAATAATAATATATTTTTTATTTTTAAGATCTAAAATTGCAGTTTTATAATACCTATTATCTTTTCATAGTTATGATGTTCTTCCATGTATATTGATTTCATTTTTATTAAAGCCTCAATTTGTTTGCTCTATTAAGCATTTTCCCCCTCCAGTATTAGTTCCATTAATGAAGTTTGGTACATCTCTATTATGATACTGATTTTCCTCATATATCTGGCAATTTTTGGTTTGGGTACTTTATTTGTCAAGCTCTGTCTCCAATGATGGGGAGAAGGAACAGGATATGTTACTGGATGAGGAACGCTAGGCATTCATTCCATAACCTTAGAGAGGAACGCTTTGTTCTGCTTGAGTGACACCATTCACAAGGGGCACTTTCCTGCATTCCCCCACCCTCCACCCCCCAGCTTACCTGTCCACACTCACTTCTCCAACCTGGAGCAGATGCCTCAGCTGCTTGCTCCTTGACAATGAGTAAGAAGGTCTTTGCAGTAGGAGGAAATGGGTCCATGCATCTAGCATCTATCTTGCATCCATCTTTTCTGAGTTTAGAAACTTACAGAGCATCCAGTGTCACAGCAGTTCTTTCCTGTGTGTATTTTTGCCATTGTTTATCCCTCAGTCAGTCATCTCCTTTCTGTCTCTTAGAAATGCCTCAGAAATTTTTGTTCTCTCTGCTCTCCAGCATTGTTATAGATTTTGGTTTTTTTCCTTGTCATTTCTAGGGATTTGGGGTAAGAGGGAAGATGGAAGAGTGTTTGTAGGGGTGCCTGGGGGGCTCAGTAAGTTAAGCTTTTGACTCTCGATTTCAGGTCGGATCATGATCTTACAGTTGTGGGATCGAGCCCTGTGTTGGGCTCCACTCTGAATGGGAGATTCTCTCCCTCTCCCTTTGCCCCTCCTCTGCTTTGTAATCTTGATTTTATCTCTTCACCATATTGCCATTAAATATTTGGGAGGATTTAAGTTAATTTGCCAATTACTTTGGAAAAAACCATACCTTTTAAAAAAATAATAGTAATTATTTGAGAATTAAAAATAAATGATTAATAATCTAGAAATTAATTTTTTTTTACAATACCCTATTCCCTTTTGTCAACCAAGTTCGCACATAGCACCATTAAATTTGCTGAAAGTTACAAAGGAAAGACTATCAGGTGTCTTGTTATGGACAATGTAATAAAAGAAAGCTCTAAGGAAATGGTTAAATATTGTAAGATCAGAGGCTAAGGGAAAAGCCAAGGAAGAATAAGATGTGTGTTCATGTATATGTGTTCACACACTTTTATTAGGATGCCTCATTAAGAGAAAGAGTTTCTGGAGAGGTGATTTGGAATGCAAAACCACCATCACAGAAAATGGAGTATAAAATTTCAAAGCATTAATCAATGAGGAAATCTAGTTTGGGAGTATGAAAACAGCAGGTATATTTCTGCTGTGATTTCCATTGATAATAGGAGCTATATTTAAAAACTGCATGTACCCACTGAGCTTAAATTTTTTTAAAAAAAAATTTTTTTTTCAACGTTTATTTACTTTTGGGACAGAGAGAGACAGAGCATGAACGGGGGAGGGGCAGAGAGAGAGGGAGACACAGAATCGGAAACAGGCTCCAGGCTCTGAGCCATCAGCCCAGACCCTGACGCGGGGCTCGAACTCACGGACCGCGAGATCGTGACCTGGCTGAAGTCGGACGCTTAACCGACTGCGCCACCCAGGAGCCCCTGAGCTTAAATTCTTAAAAGAAGATGCGTGATTGTGTTTTCTTGGTCAGGAGAGCCCTAATTCAAACGAGTTTCTACAATAAGGAAAAGGTAATTCTTTGGCTGCTTTATCATGAGCCTCAGTTGACTCTTGGCCCAAGATTTAATTGGCTCTGGGTTCATATTGATGCTCTGCATGTTTTTCCGATCAACCACTTTTGTTTGTGGATTAGATTTCTTCTTTCCTCCCTCTCTTTGTCTTTGCTTTTGGTTTTGGATTAAGACTGATATTTCTACTGTACGTGATCACTATAATAGTGGCTTGTTTGATTTGCTAGGCATTTGGCTTTGCACCTGAATCTTTAAATTGTGAGCTTTGTGTTGTTGTGCTAACAGCATAGTAAAGAAAAAGAAGTCTTGGATTGTTCATCAATGTCATTTTGGTACCCTAAGAATGTTTCTGGACATGTGGAATAAGTGTCCAAAACAAGCTCATCAATGATGTCTCAGGGATACATCATAAGTATTTCTATGTATAATTCTCTTTTTATGCTGATGTTTAACAAATATTAAATGTATATTCGGGACCAAATATTGTAGTCCAGCTTGGAAAAAAACCTTTCCTTGTATAGGCTGACATAAAGTTTCTTTCTTTTTGTCTTCCATCCATCATTAAGATTAGAGCACACTTTACAAAAGCAAGCCCAACAATTACTGGCTACCACAATGGACATCTTTCAACTTACTAGAGTATATTGACAGATTCAGACACTTCAACTGCATAGTGATAATATATAACAAGAATATGAATTCTATTTTGTTTCTTGCATCTTGAAGGGTGAAGTCCTTATATTTGTTAACTGTTAGGACAGATTAAATTCTTAACTCTCTGTAACACAAAATTTAATAAAAGCACATTCTGTATGGTTCAAAACCAATTTCCTTATTACGCTCTAGGTGATGTGTACTCATTTGCTGCATAAAAGAGAAGAGATATCAGGATTGGGAAAGATTATTATCTTTCTTTGCTGTAACGTGTTTTTATACCAAGGAGAAATATGTGACATGTGAGCTTTAGTTTTCTCTAATTGATCACATCTTACATCAGTTTACTTCTTTCTCACATTCCCTGCTCCATTCTGCAACATGGTATCAAGGAGTCAGGACATTTGTAGTTGAATTTCCAAAATACGATATTTTTCAGCAATAAATGCACATTAAGTGCTTTTTATCAAAGACTTCAAGTGATTGCATCATATTATCAATGTACAGTTGACATTTTTAATTCCTGTTGTAACAATGCATTTGAGCTCAAACGTAGATGCTAAAGAAGAATAATCTCTAAGATTTCTTTTCCCTTTGGGAATGAGGGAAGGAAAGGTTTCTCAGAGACTCTAGCCCACATATTATTGATGAAACAGTTAACACTGTATCAACTTAGCGCTGCTTCTTTTTTTTTTAATTTTTTAAATGTTTTATTATTTATTTTTGTGAGAGATAGAGCAAGCGCACACACACACACACACACACACACACACACACACATGAGCGGGGGGGGGGGGGGGGGGGGGGTTGCAGAGAGAGAGGGATTAGAAGCAGGTCCAGGCTCTGAGCTGTCAGTGCGGAGCCTGACATGGGCTCAAACTCGTGAACCGTGAGATCATGATCTGAGCTGAAGTCAGACGCTTAACCGACTGAGCTACCCAGGCGCCCCAGCGTTGCTTCTTTTAACACAGTTGTATTTTAACATAGTTGTTCATGGTAAACCTTACTGCAAAAATTTTCAATTTTTCTCTAACTTTGCTTTTGAATAAATTGCAATACCAATTTATTACTTTACCCTGGGAGTTATATAAAGCAGGCAAAGTTTTCTTTTGTGGACTAACCTTCTTCCTATGTAATAAAGTTATGTGGGAAGTCACAGTTTTACATTTTAAGAGATTTCAGTGCAGTGGTTCTTCATGTTTTGGGATGTGAATATCTGATGAAAGCCATGTGACCTCTTCACAGGGAAAACGTGCATGTGCACATATGTTCATGGTTTTGCCTGTTTTTAGGAGCTCATGACTCCCTGGGTTTCATTTTTGACTTAGTAGTTTCAGAGCAGAATAGATTCTTTGATAGTCACTTTGCCAGTACTGCAAATGGGACAGCGTTGTGATTAAACCCCTATTTTTAAATTTTTTTAATGTTTATTTATTTTTGAGAGAGAGACAGCATGAATGGGCGAGAAACAGAGAGAGAGAGAGGGAGACACAGAATCCAAAGCACGCTCCAGGCTCTGAGCTGTCAAGCCCGACGCGGGGCTTGAAACCACGAACTGTGAGATCATGCCTGAACCAAAGTCAGACACTCCACCAACTAAGCCACCCCGGTGCCCCAAACCCCTATTAAAAAAAATTTACTGTGTGGAATTTGCACATGTAATACTAATTGTGATAAACCAGAGTCTGTAAGCAGTAATGTAAGACTAAAAGAAAATGAGGCTGCTTAGTTCAATCCCTGATAATATAACCTAGGACAAGAAGACAGGAAGTTATGTTTGTGTCATTGGTAGCAATACATCCAGCTCTTACATTCAGTTACCTGGGGATAGCATCGTGCACCAGTTAGTGGCATGGGCTCTGTAGTCAGGCACCTGTGTTCATCTCCCATCTGGGCGACATCTTGAGTGTGTAACTTTGGGCAAGTTACGTGGGGACTAACCAGAGTCCTTGCTTCTAAGGAGTGTAAAATAGTGCTAGCACCTTGTACAAACTCAATAAATGCCCACTACACCACAAGATAACTATGCCAGTATTTATAATATAGAGAAAGCAATTGTTTTGGTTATGCCTTTCTGATCTCTACTTTCGTGCCAGTTCAGTGAAAGGGACTCATCTAGAAAGAGTTTCTTAGACTTTCCTGTGGTGTCCTGACTGAGCCGTCCGCCTCCAGCACAATCCCTGGGAAAGATGGGGTACAGTAAGGACAGATGGGTCCCCACATGCAGCCATGCTGGCAAGCTCCTAGAACATGGGTAATCTGCGGTGCTTTTCAGGTCTGCAGACTAAGGGTAGGAAGCATTCTGCATTCCCTTTCTGCAGTTTGTAGTCCGAATTTGAGGTCATTAGGTATAGTTCTTGGTTTTGATCTTGAGAGAACTTAAGTCTACCAAACAAAAAATTTTGCAGAAACACTACTAAAGCTGTTATAAGGAAGAGATTTCGGAACTCTTACCTTTAATTTTAGAAATGAGATATTTAGAAATAAATGACAATACACCTTACAGAAGTAAATTATAATAATTTCAGTTTTAAAATATTTTCCAGACTGAAGCTCTGGAAGTGACAAAATTCAGGCGCTGATTTTCATAACAGGTAATTTAAACAACATATGGTAACATTTACAAAAATGTATAAGCAAATGATCAAAATTAATTCATTAGACATTTATATTTCTGTCATGTACTTGTGTAGGTGTTTCCTTATTCTGTAGGATCAATGGTTCTTTTGGTGACATACCCTGTAGCAGATGGAAAACATTAACTACTATTTTCCACACTTGTCAAAATGTTTGGTGATCTTTATTCTAATTATATATATATACACATATTGTACTAATGAAGAAAGTATTTCATGATAAAGTGAACCACTGGTGTGAAATGAAAAATAGACAAACTTTAAAATGAAAATAAATATGAATTAGATCTTGAGCTGTGTAGCACTTTTAAATTAAAAGCCATACAGAAATGAAATGATAGGGATTTGATTTTGCTTTCTTTCTTGGATCTTTATGCAGTATTTCTATGAATTTTTAGTACCTAAAA